AGCAATCCCACCAGCGATGCACTTCCCACCATTGAAAGCCGCACCAGCAGCAGCCTTCCAAATCGCCGTAACATCAGTGATCATATCTTGGGTAAAGAAGAGCCTGCAATCAGCTTCCGTTCTGACGAATTGAGCGGGGAGTCCGTCATCGATGTTGCTAGGAGCAATGGTGTCACGAATATTGAGGCCAGCTACGGAAGAGCGGTTCATTGGCAAGCTGGTGATCTTGCGTAGAATAGCTGCTTGGGCTTCGCTGGCATTGTTGAGGGCATCTTGAGAATAATTAAGAACATCTTCCCAAAGAAAGCTTTGGGAGCCTTTGACGCCGCCTACGGTTTGCATCGGGCCCGGCTGAGGGCGGCCTCCCATGACGACAGATTTAACGCCAGCTGAGCTCCTCATAAATTCCTCAAAAAGATAGCACGTAGATCCGCAAAAGCCTTCTGTTAGCATGATGATATTTTCAGTCTCGAATGGTTGTGTGAAATTAGTTCTGCTTCCATAGCCAGTGACGTCGGTCCCGAAGCCGAAAGTCGCGTTGCTGGTCAAAGGATCGTTCCAGTTCCAGCGCATGAGCTCGGTGTAGTTGACGCCGTCAATGACTCTGGGCCCAAACTTTGCCTGGAAGGACTCGAATGGTTGGTTGCTGATGTTGTAGTCGTATCGGTAGTTGAAAAATATCCTCGCTTGATTGATTTCGTCTTCCGAGGAGTTGGCGAGATCAAAGTCTGCGGATTCTGCGGAGTAAATCTCGGAGATGGCCGTAAGCGTGTCGCTCTTTCTCAAGCGGCTGTTGCCGCCCTGGTCTATGGTTGGGAAGAGCTGTCGGAAAAGATCATATGCTACCACTCATAGATTAGAGGTGCTTCAAAATTGTCGTCTGGACAGAAGAGAATTACCGTGGAAAATCAATCCACCACCGTTGGCACTGAGGTCGATAACGAGTTTAGTCTTGCCGGCAGCCTTAGCAGCAGCAAAGAAGTTCTGGATGACGCCCTGGAATTCGAGGGGGGAGTTGGATTCGAAAGAGAGGACGCCGAGCACTGCTACATCTTCGAAGCCCTCCCCATCAAGGTAGTAGCCGGAGACACTGGTGTCGTTCGTGATGAGAACAGGCTCCGGGTAGCCGAAAACAGTGACAACTTCAGTTGACACCTCCTCCTCCTCTCCGCCATCGACGGGCTCATCGGTCACCTCGGAACCAGTGCAGAACTTATTGTAAAACGATGCTCCGTCCGTGACTCCGACGAATGATCCCAAGACGGTGGCGACGTTCTCTGTGACCAGATTGGTCCCGTTTGCGAATTCGAATGTCGTATTGGGCCCTGGATAGGTGAATCTGGAAGCCTATGAGAAATGTGAAATTTCCTGATGGGATGAATTCCCTTACCGCGTGCGCCCACCATCCGCAAAGTAACCAGTTCCCGAATCAACTGCAAAGAAGGCTTTTTCGAAGAACATAGAGTTGTAAGCTGCATCCGGATCATGATGGAGGGAAGAAGCGAAGATGGTATCGGCAACATATTTGGAAGCCTCTACTCCGTTGATCTTGGAGACGACGGAAGCCGTTGATGGAGACGAAATAACATCCTCTTGACATCAATCAGCAAGCTCTCAATACAGCCCTTGAAATCCGCTCACCGTAAAGCTTGATCACGGGAAGAGAAGTTCCGTCTTCACTGATCGAAACGAGGGATCTCTGGCGGCCGAATTTGAATGCCTTGGTGTACGCATCCGGATACAACAAAAAATGGCCATCGTGTGACCTTGCAAATACCTGGTATAAGTCCTCTTGGAATTCTGTCGCGGGGTCAGTATATCCGTCCGCGATCACGAACCTCTATCCCGTACTGTATTCGTTTGCGTATTTATTGTTCTCCAAATTCGACTTCACCGAAGCGAGATATCCAAGTGCGTCGTGAGGAGGGTAGAAGTAATCGGCGGGGGGGTTCTTTTTCCAGGCCAAATCTTAGACAATTTCAGTAATTGGAAATTTTAGTGATCTCTATACCATGCATACCGCTCTGCCAATCCATGTACGGTACCATGGCATCAACCAACATAATGGCAGCGGTCTTATTCAAGGGCACAGAGTTCAAGCAGTCGTGCGCCAATTCAGCCGCAACGGTCGGAGTATCTGTGTATCGCATCGTCAGTCTCTCAGCCAGCCAGCCTCTTATATACCACATCACGTACCATTAGGAGAAGCAGCTATCTGAGCCGCAGCCAAGCGGCTGACAACAGCACAGGGCGGCTCAGAGGCCGAGGGAGGCGTGGTAGTCGGCGTCGCTGCTGCTGCCGTTAGGAGAAGAGTGGTGGGGATGGCGTACTTCATCGTGAACGAGGGTGATGATGATACGAACTGTCAAAGAAGGGAGTTCCATATCCGGATGGAAAGGCGAGAACGTCGCATAAAGCCAAAGAGATTATGTCTTGCCATACTATTCGCCAAGATGGTAGGAGCGGGATATAATATTTAAACTTTATAAAGAGCGCCATGAGATGATGAGATTTTGTTGTTGTTACTTATTTATTAACGTCGGGTGGGTATCCAAAACGCAATGCTTGGACCCTAAACCTTTTTATAAAGTACGGCGACGTGCTACTACGTACATAAAGGAATTACAATAAAGTATCATCTCACCGAGAGTAAAAAATTCGTTAAAGAAAACCTTTTGTTTAAAAAGTAAATGATTTATAAACTTTGTAAAAGCAATTCATAATTTGTGCACCGAGTTTTCTTTCGTAAACTGTCTAATACGTATGGCCTTACGAGCAACCTCAATCCATATAAGTATGATTTTATTTTTATTTTATCTTGAGGCTAAACAGGCTTGCGTTCGTAGCCTTTATATAAAGCCGGTGTATTTGCAAAACGCTTTTTCGAAAGCGCAATACCTTGTTTTCAACTAATCGAACTAAGTCTTTCCTGTTCTCTTGGTCTTTTCGATCGGTATGCCCGTTAAGTATAGATCGTAGTCGGCGTAATATTCGAAAACAAGGAGAAAGGAGGTTCGGAACCGCCGGTAAAAGTAGATCTCCTCGAAGAGACGTCACATATCGATGATTCAACTTTGGCTCTCTAAACTCTTTGCCGCAAGAGAGAGCTAAAGGTTCGTAAGAGGCACCTCATATAGGTTAAGAATCGTGGCGTCCTATAAGTTGATGAGAGTGGCTTCGTTGCGTTCATATCGTATTTTCGTAGGTCGAAGTCAATTTCCTTTACCGAATATACAACTAGAAACTTCAAAGCGGCATTGATAGAAGTGGATGCGATCGATATGTCCGATTTACTGTTTTATAGTAGTATTATAATGTACTCTATCTGTAATACAAGTAGAAGAGGATAGGTGCCTAGTATATTTGTTTGCTCACGATCGTCTCGTATACGGTGAATTAGCGAAGGAGGTGATAGTAGAGTTAGGAATATTAAAGGAGGTGGCGCTTATTGCAGCTTGCGCCTTGGCAAGCAGTCAAGCCACACCTTTCAGCTAACATTCAGTGACTGATGCGCGTGCGCAACCGGATAGATTACGGATGCTTCTCAACCTAAATGTTGCGGATTCGCTTTACGTATTGGTAATCGTATTCTGTCCAAGTCAATTTGTTTTGCCGAGATTTAGAAACTTTAGAGCGGCGTGGAGGGAACCGGGTGCGATACCGTATGTGTGCATTCTGGCCTCATGACGGTTTGATCGATCGTCTCCTGCCACTCAAGCCTTTTTCGCAGCATCCCCATCAACACCACCCTGTGCCATCCATACGAGGTACGTCCTACATTTTCCAGCCCAAACCGCCAGGCTCGGTACTCTCCATCCAAATACCTGCCCAACACCTCCACTAGGACCGCAAGGCACGAATTGCGTGGCTCCCAGCCCCTTGAATTCCTTCTGCTTGAAGACTCCCTCCTTGCCCGCGAGATCAATACCAATACTCGTGCCCAAGGGCTGAACCGAGTTCTGAACGTCTATCACGCTGCCGTTGCTGAACGAGGCGACGTCCCCGATGGCGTAAACACCCGGGAAGGGCGTTCGGCACGTCTTGTCTGCATTAACGTGCTTTGAAGCGGTAAGCCATGCTGGTGGGAGGAACGAGGAGTTGGGCTTTGCGCCTGTGGCATCGATAAACACGTCCACAGTCTTAGTTGCACCGTCAGAGAGCGTAACTGTGGTCGTGCCGTCTGGATTCTTCTCAGTGGACGAGACTTTGACATCATTATTGACCGTCTTGACGCCGTAATTTGCGAGTTGCTTGGCAGCGGATGCGCTGTTTGCTGGGAGAAGCTTTGGGAGAAGACGCGAGCTGCCGGAGAAGATAGTGATATCGATGCCGGTGAACTGCGCACCAATCTCACCCGCGGTCTCGACACCGACTGCACCGCCTCCTGCAATGAGGACGGATTTTGCGGACGCAAGAGCGTTTACAAGGGCGCGAATCTCGGACTTGAGAGCTTCGTCGGAGTTATTCAACGCCCAGACTGGACTGGCATAGTGGGATCCCGTCGCAATGACCAGAGTGTCGTACTTGATCTGCTCGCCGTTGCTGATGGAGACCGTCTTCGAGGCGGCATCAACGTCAGTTGCTTTTCCATGCACGAGCGAGAACTGAGTACCGTATGAGGCGAATGCCGGAGAGATAGGCAAGAATACTTTCTCTTCGGGGATGAGAGTTTCGGAGACGATAAGCCGGGGAGCGGCGATGTTCCAGAAGAACTCATTGTTTGGAGTCACAATTGTGACGCGGTAAGTTGTTGAGTTGAGCTTTGAGAGTTTAGGGACGACATGGCGGAGGAGGTAATGAGCGGAATTGAGGCCAGCGTGGTGGCCGCCGAGGATGAGGATCTCGTGTGTTGACATTGTGACGATGTCGAAGTTTTATTTGAAGGGGGGAAGAGGAGAAGGTCGATATAGGGAATCTCGAGGCAATCGTGATCTGCCGTAGGTATGAAGCAGTATCACTTGCTATTGCCGATCACGTGTCACGGCCAAAGAATATTATCAGAGCCCGCATTTCCCTGGCTGCTCTGGAACGATAAAATATATTAATGAGTACCGGTATGTGATGATGGTCTGTAAACAAAAAAAATATTAATTGAAGAAAGAGAAAAAAAGATACCGTGTACCCTGGTCATCGCGAGACATAGATTATCTTGCGTAACGTCTGATAATGTTTCCTTTAGCCGGCGAAGGGTTTAAGAAAAGGATAAACACCTGTGATTCATGGTCTTTGAACATCACGACCAGGATATTCCAACTAATGATCTCCACAGAACTCTCCGATATCAATTGCTGCAGTGCATAAGCTGCATCTCTTATGACTCTGCACATATTTAGAGAGTGCATGAAAAAAGAACGATGTGAACTTCTTCAAAAACAGCTCCATACGTAGTGTTCTCTTTCACCCACACATTTTCGCATCCACACAGCTCAAGATGCTGGGTATCATTTACAGACGCCCATTCGTCGGTCGTGATCTCACGGCTTTTAAAATGACGTTTCCCAGTTCCAGTTCTCCATAACTCCAAAGCCAATACACACGAAATGTGGATCTGAAGGGCCAGACTACAACCCAGGCTCCAAAATGATAGTCGATAGACCGTATGCCGGCCGCTGGGAAGCCTCCCAAGCTCACGCAATAGCATCAACCTCCATCTTATCTCCAGCTTCCTTGGCCGACTTTGTCTTGGCTTTTGTAGTCTTGGGCGCATCTGTAGAGTCTGTTGGCAACTTCTCGATTTTTGTATCTTCATCTTCAAAATCCACTTACCAGTCATTTCAACCTCTCCCTCGTCCTTCATGGCCTGCTCCAAGGCTCTTCTCCTTGCATTGTTCTTTGCCTTCTCAACCTTCCTCGCCTTCTTGCCTGACAGAGGTGCTAGAGGTCCGCTCGTTGGGTGCAGAACACTGCTCCTGGCTGTTCCCCTGGGGTTCTTGGAGATGCCATTTGTTGCGCTGCGCTTTTTGACTTTGGCACGTCCGGCAGTCTTGCGCTGTTTGTTGGGGACGTTTGGATTTCCTCTTGAAGGCATTGCGGCGGTGTTGTGGCGTCGTTCTGGTGATGTGTTGCAAGAGTTGACCCTCGAAACTTATAAATTTGAATTTCCAGGCGTTGTGTCTTAGCGCGGGGTTTGCCAAGTCTTCGTCACTCTCCAATTCCATCCCGCCCAGGACCTACTCATTGCCTCGCAACAACAATAACATCTCGACGGCGACCACGACTACGACTACGACTACTACATCACGAACTTTACGCAACTCTCCCTCTTTCTATTTACATCGATACTGATCACCTACCTCCGCCATGTCTTGGGCAGGTCCGTCTTCAACTCCGCGCATCAATCCACCCACTGACACCCGCAGGCTTCAAAAAGAATGTCAACCGGGCCACAACCCAGGTTATGATGAAGACAGGCCATGTCGAGAAAACCAATGATCGAGACTATGAAGTTGAGGAGAGACGGTACCGGACTATGGAATCGGCGTCGATGCGGCTGCAGAAGGAGGCGAAGGGATATCTAGACTCCCTACGAGGTACGGTCATCGCGCCAGCAGATTAGGGCAGTGACTGATGTATGCAGCTATGACGGCCTCACAGATGCGCATTGCGGAGACCATCGATGCTTTCTACGGCGATGCGGGGGCGAAGGATGGAGTGAGCAGAAGTTACAAGCAGGCTGTTGAGGATTTGGATGCAGAGACTATCAAGGCGCTCGATGGACCATATCGGTATGTCGGGACTTGGGGTTGCTGGGTGTATCTGACGTTAGTAGTACGACTGTCTTGGACCCTATATCAAGATTCTGCGCATATTTTCCAGACATCAACGAATGTACGTACACCCTCTTCTTTGCATACCCGACTGACGGGAAGCAGGCATCAAGAAGCGCAACCACAAACTCATAGATTACGATGCTATGCGAGCAAAGGTCAAGAAACTCGTCGAGAAGCCTGATAAGGACGTAACCAAGCTCCCACGTGCAGAGAAGGAAGCCGAGATGGCGAAGGCAGCATACGAACAACTAAACGAGCAACTATCCACCGAACTCCCTCAGGTCATCGACCTCCGGGTACCGTATCTCGACCCCTCCTTCGAAGCGCTGGTCAAGATCCAACTGCGGTTCTGTGCCGAGGCATACTCGCGGATGGCGCAGGTGCAGCAGTATTTGGATGCCGATACGAGAGAGCAGTATGCGCAAGGACAACTGGATTCGAGGGTTGAGGAGGTGCTACAGGAGATTCGGGAGTTGAGCATCAGTGGGACGGTTTAGAAGAGAGGAGTAAGAGGTGTAACGCATAGCACGGAGTACGGGGTTCTAGAGTTGTTAATGAAGACGAGGCTTCCACCAATGTATGAGATACTTGTACTTTGGTCAAATATGAAATGTCTGTGATTTTTACTTCCTGGCGGGGGTAAGTATAAAACTTTTCTTGGGGTCCACTGAACGAACTAGAGGTATCTGGGGGGATTTGGTCGTGTATTTCGTTCCTGGATCCGCCTCCCATCATCTACAGTACCGGTAGTAGTAGATTTCGCTTACCTTTCGCTTACCGGCCGGCAAACAATTTACTTACTTTAGACAAGTGGTTTTTCCCTTGAGGCAGGTATCAATCGGCGAAAAGTCATGATGGGCTCCAAGGCTCCATGGCTCAAGCTCACACTCGACGGACTGTGAGCACCATCTTGACACTAGCCGATTGATACAACTACCGGTATACAACTACTACGTATAAGCCTGTTACGTAGTATATCTACGAAAGTGGAGAGGAGCAGGTACGAAAACCTATTCAGGTACGGGTAGAAGTAGGTTGTAAACTGAAACCTCGAAGTGGGCCGAGGGCACCAAGCTTGAACTTTCAGTTGAGTTCCCGGGAAAAGCTAAGTATTCAATTAGGTTTGTTAACTGGAGCCCCAGGTGATCCCGGTCGCAATGGGTTTCCTGGTGAGCTTTGCCTTTTTGAGGGGGTGGGAGGGCGGAAGGGGGGGGTTTTTCTTTTTTTTTTTATTCTTTTTTTTTTCTTCCTTTTCCTTTCGAGAAGGGCGTAAGGCCCCCCGAATGACTCTTCAGGGCAACGGGCAACGCCGTCTGACAAATCGAGTCAGTACCGCTTTCTGCTATATCGCTATAATGTAACTTCTCTTTGTCTATATTGTATAGCTTAAATCATATCATCTCTTTCACCCGGAAAATCTTCTTACTGTAGTACAGTAAAAAAGTAAAAAGTCGACCATTGTTTGCGAAAAATCAAAAATCAAAAATCAAAAATCAAAAATCAAAAATCAAAAATCAAAAATCAAAAATCAAAAATCAAAAATCAAAAATCAAAAATCGAAAATCAAAAACGCCCAGATCATCAGCCTCGCCGCCAAGTGCAGATCCGCAGGGACCACCAAAAAATGTCGATCCCACCAACTCCTCCAACGACCACACGCAAACAGCGCCGGCAGCAACAACAACTGAAGCTCGACTTCCAAGCGACTCTCACCCCCTCAGATACAAACTCAGATCATGATTCAGACTGCCTCACCATTCGCCTCGCTCTCCAGTCTTCAATGGCGCAACCAATCCGCCTTCTCGTCTGCTCAATAGGCAACCGAGGACCCTACATCAACACCCTCCACTCCGCCGCCCACACCGTCCTGGACACCCTCGCGAGCTCGCTCGGCTATCCCGGCTTTCAAAGGAGCGCCAAACACGGCAACGGGCTCATCTCTGCCGGCGGAGAATTCACCCTGTGGCAGTCGAGCTCGCTGATGAACGTCTCGGGCGTGGGCGTTTCGCGTGCGTGGAAATCCTTCGTGGCGGAATCGAGGAATCAGGAGACCAAGCTGGTCATCGTACACGACGAGCTCGAGCTGGCGCTGGGACAGGTTAAAGTCAAGGCGGGCACTGCGAGTCCGAAGGGTCATAACGGGCTGAAGAGCATCAATGAGTGCTTGAAGGGGGAGGCGTATACGAGGATCGGAGTGGGGATTGGACGACCGCTGAGTAGGGACCGGGAGGATGTGAGTGCGTTCGTCTTGAGGAAGATGACGGGTGCGGAGAAGAGGAGTGTTGAGGGGACTGTGGGCGCTGTGGAGATGGAGCTGAGGAGGTTGGTGCAGGGCTGAAGAGGAGGGAGAAGGTATGAAAGCAGAATCATTGGATTATTCCAAGGCTCGTTTGGGAGACCCAGATCCGACAGGCTGGATGAGAGCTTGAATGATTTGGAATCGGGACCCCCGAGCTGCTTTGTATCCGGATGAGCCCATACAGTCAGTACATGCTCTCTGCCCGACACATATGCAAACCGGCTGGCCGGATGATAGGATCGATATGGAAGATGGGGCCATATCAAGATCATCGCCGGCTTGGATGGCGGAGTCTTCGGCATATGTAAAAAATGTAAGGAGGAATCCGGTGGACTGGAGACATCGCGTCTGGTGTCCCAGGAAAGGCTGTATGAAAACTATGTATGTACCATATTGTATATATACTGGCGATGGCTCTTTCAATGATACCCCGGGCTGCTGCCCTTTCGACCTGTCAATGCGCATGTTCTGAATTCTTTCAGATATCTGCTCTTAGCAGGGTGCCTGTCCATGATGTTTTTCCCCACACGTGTAGAGTTTCTTTAGATCGTGTCGAAATGCTACCTTCATTCCTAGTATTCTCTCTACTACTGACGTGAACTTTTTCGCTAGTTCTATATCAGAAGTCAGTCTACCGTTCCCTGAGATCTAGCCACCTTCGAGGCACCCATACACATAGTCAACGTATCATTCTCCGTTGTCCATTACTTCTTCTCACTCCACTTCCTACGTTCTCATTCAAACCTTCCCGTTCTTCCTATCCTCAATCACCCTCCACTGCACCACCTTCAAAACATTGAATGCCGTCCGTAGAATCGGCGCCTCCACGCCCAACATCTCCGCATGCCTCACCATACCCCCAAGAATCGGATAAATCTCCAGCGGATTCCCCTTTTCCAAGTCCACCTGCATACTCGGCCTGAAATTGCTCGTCGGAGGCGTCTCCCTAATGGTCTTCGCAATCATATCCTCCTCAAATACAAACCCCTTCGCCTTCGTAACCTCGTGAATCTCCTGCAGTAGCGGCCTCAGAAGCGTGTCCATGCCCCCAGCGTCCTGCAAGCGGCCGACGTCGCAGCCAGTCAGCGTGCACAGGGTGTTGAAAGCGCCGTTCCAGAACAGTTTGCGCCAGCGGTAGTACTGGATGTCCTCGGCGTAGACGCACAGCCGGGGGCCCCCGGCGGCATAGACCTCGACGAAACGCCGCGCCTGCGCCTCCTGGACGTCGCGCGGGAGGCCGGCGTGGAAGTGCGCGCCGAGCCAGATCTTCTCGGGGCTCTCGTGGTAGACGTCGTTGGAGCGGATGCGCGTCTCGATGTAGCTGACGCCCGACATGACGGTGCAGCGCGGGAAGGCCTCGATGAGCGGGAGCTCGATGTCGATGCCGTTCTGGATGAGCACGATGGCGGTCGTGCCGGGCGTGACGACGGGGGAGATGATCTCGGGGACGGAGTACACGTCGGGCAGGGCTTTCAGGGCCACGACTACGTAGTCGTACGGGGCGCCCTTGACGGCCGCATCTTCGACGCTGGAGGCAACTTGATAACATCATCAGCTTTTGCACTATGGTGTGGAGAGGTGGCTTCCTTACTCGTCGTCGGTCGCCAGCCAGAAATCTTGCCGTGATCCGCAGAGTCGATCTCAAAGCCCTTCTCGACGACGACTTGGTAGTTCGAGCGCAGGACGGCCGTGACTTTCGCTTGCTTGGACTTCTCTAGCACGAGCGAGGAGATCGTCCCCACCCCGCCGCTGCCAATGAGACAGATATTCAGCATAGTAGTGATGATATAAGCACGTTTGTGGAGAGATGCGCACAATATGAAAGAAGAGACTGGCGGCGGCTAGAAAATATATACGACTGTAGTAGGTAGATAATTTGGTCACGTGTGGTCAGATAAGCGAAGCTCCGGCTCTGGCCGAGTGGAATGACGGAGGAAAAGGAAGGTGATGCCGAGGGCCGGGGCAGAGCCAGCGTAGCTTGAATATAGCCCTCGATGTATGTATGTTTAATAATGATAGTCTTCCAGGAGACTGGTGTTTGATTTGGGAGTTGACTTCTTCCGTATGGTCATCTGATCTAGGAAGTGGACTGTTGTTTACCTTTGGCGAGCTTAATGTTCGCTTGAATAACCCATCCCTTGAAGGACGAGCCATGCTAGGTGAGCTGTCCTCGGCCTGCCTTTTTTCAATTGGCAATGCGTCTGTGCTACTGTTCGAACAACAGACTGCAAGTGATTGAACTAGGTATGGCCTCTGGGAAATCCAACAAATGTTCATGGGAAGAAATTTCAAAAAGATGTACTCCTTCGCTGTTGGAAAATGAACATTTTTTTATTATCTAGATGACTCCATCCGTGCCACTGGTCCAGATCTCGTCTACGCATACCTGTGTATCGGCGGATTGCTCCGCCGGTCCACGAACGCCGGCGCAGCATACGCAGGAGGGGGACCATGAGATTGCTGTCCCATGGGCTGTGGTGGCATTGACAGCGCCTTACTTCTCTTGCTCTTCCGACAGCAACTTAGTATCGCACATGCCAGCAGCAGCAAAGTCAGACTGCCCAGACCAGTCGCCAGCCCAATGACCAGATTCCGATTCCTATCGACCCAGGATGAGGACGAGGGGGAGCCGTTACCAGACGAGCTCTCGTTGCCGCAAATCCCACGGCTACAAGTTCCCCCGTCACACGGAGTTCCATCGAGTAGGTCACTGGTCATGTCCACACAGAATTGTGAATTCACTCGGGGAGAGCATCGCAGTTGACAAGAATCGGCATCACAGGCACTTGTGAAGTTGCTGCTTGTCCCCTGTATCACCACGGCTTGACACTGAAGATCCCGGCTGGTGCATTGTCCTTCAGCGCAGAAGAGGCCTCCGCTATCTCCGCAAGAGTCTCCGTTCGGTTGATACACGTCAGTTGGGCAAGTTCCAGCGGATCCGGTGCACGTCTCTTCAATATCACAAGATCCCTTGCTTTCTCGGCAGACAGTTCCTGAAGATGCGAACTGACAGCCGGAGCAGCAAGCTTCATTAGCATCATCACAGACCGCGTTGTCGCGGTATTGACACGTAGTCGGATTACAACAAGAGTTGGCTCCGCATTCTTCCTCGCGCCCACAATCACATTGCTCCCCTGCCTCGACGAGTCCGTTGCCACATTCAGCCCCGTTAAGATTCGGAAGATCGACGTTGTCAACAAGACATCGCGAACGGACCATGTTGCTGCCCAATCCAGAACAGATATTTCCGATCGTGCATGGTGAGAAATCGGTCATGGATCTCGAGGAGCTCGGATTCATGAGATACTGGGCACCGGCATCACATCCCGAAGCACTGACCGGACAGCACTGTTGCAAGCTTTCAGAGAGTTCACACTGTCCCGCGTTACAATCGTGGACCGCTCCGAAGATGTGAGCGGTTTCGTGCCTAGCAAGTCAGCAAGCGAGGGCTATTGGGGGACGGTTCCGCTTACGCAAAGACTTGCCATTCTCCAGGAGATCTCACAACAACATTAGCTCCGGTGACTGACTGGCCCCCGGATTCCCGAAGTCTCGATACACAAAGCTGACCGAGCCACGCAAGGCCCACTGTACCTCCGTAACCACAAGTGGTCATCATCGTCCAATACGCATTATCATCGTTACGCTCTCCTCGCCATTGCGAAAATGACTCCAGGGTCGACTCGATATCTCCGTTCGTGGGGCACGCCGCATTCCACGGGGCCGAATCGGCTGCTGTAGCTGGGCAAGCAGCATCGCTAATCGTCAAATTTTGCAAGCCGAGGGTGACGTTGAAGGTTCGTTCATACACATCCGATGCGGCGTTAACCATGGCGATCAAGTTGTCGCGAACAGCAGCTGTGCTCTCAAAGGCGGCAGTGTAGGAGCAATCCGTGGCTATCCCAATGAGCGCGACTCGTCCCGATGTCGGACAGCCGTCCGTACTCCCGATCGTATCTCGCAAATTTTCAAATATCGAGGTGTCTCCAGTGAAGATCTGCCGATTGGCGAGAGATCCTCGGGACGCGCTATTCCATGAGATTTTCGGCTCCGGTTTCCCGAAGATGGGATTGTCCGGTCCAGAGTTGAAGCTGAGCTCGTCGGCTGGACATCGAGAAATTACAGAGTCCCGCTTCCGTTCTCCCGCTGAGACCATATCCGAGTCCCGGTAAACGACCATCCGCTCTTCTGTGATCTCGACAGGATCAAAGTCTACATCTCGCTTGATCCGCAGGTAGCTGGACCGCGGCTGGATGTGATGATGGTCTCCCCAGACACTGAAGACTCCTTCGAGGAGTGGCGAGGATCCATCCCTCTTCACATAGATTCTAGCCCACCCGGCTCGCTGCCAGTTCCCGGAAGGCTCGGGAACCCAAGCTGAGCCTTTGAACACCTTGTGCTCCTGCCGTTCGATCGGTCTGGAGTCTCGGACGATTCCCTGGCCGTCTAAAACCTGGACGTGCGCGTCCTTTCCTAGGATGTTGCGGTTGGGCTCCAGGATTAGTTTGACAGCTTGGTCATTGCCTTCGAGGGCGAAGGTGATGTCGAAAGAGGAATCGCTATTGATCTTATGCGCATGAGTGTTGATTAGCGGGTTGTGAACCCCGAAAACACGATGGATCTGGTCCCGGGCTTCTGATCGTGCTGCCGCGATGCGTTAGCCAGACTCTTCGGGTGATGCGAAAGCTGTGATGTAGAGCATACATACCATTGATGATGGACGCCTGGAAAAGGGCAAGGATCACAAGATGGGCGGCACGGAATGGTTTCATATTATTATTATTTTTAAAATTTTTATTTTATTTTATCTTCTCGTTAAAACAAAAACCTGCCAGAGAGAGGCAGGTCAGACCTGTTACATCTTTTCGGATGTCATGGGTCTTAAGTCTCAGCAGTTTTCAATGGTTGCCAAGTACACCCAGTCGTCCAGCACATCCGATGCCACTGGATGTCGTCACGCCGCCGCTCTCCCAAGTAGCCTCAAACAGAAATGAAGGTTCATGACTCGAAGCTTCTGGAGTTCTGACTGGCCAAACTCTTGGATAAACAACGAGTGCGTAACGTATTGGGGCGAAGCCGTGGCCAAGCTTCGGGATGGGCTTGGCCAGGGACCGCTGCATTCGAGAGAATTGAGTTCGTATGTGGGATTTTTCAGACATGAGCAGACGTCGAAGGTAGCATGGGGAATCCTGAGGAGGAGGAAGAGGAGGAGGAGGAGGAGGAGGAGGAGGTGGTGGTGGTGGTGGAGGAGGAGGTCGCCGTTGAGCTGATATCGAGCTGCTAGCGATACCTCTTCCCGAGGGAGGGCTTAGGATGGGCTGCGCTGGTATGGTACAGTATGGTACGTATAGTAGACGAGCTCTACTGTAGGTGAGGACAGCAGCAACAAGCAAGGATAGAGTTCCCCAGCCACTACTTACTGTACAGTACCGGCACGGACTTGTTTTACATGCCGGATTTCCAATCGCTGAATAACAAACATAGTTGTACAACTAGTTGTAAAACAATAATCCTTGGTGCATTCGTACTCCGGAAACGATCGTTGCCCCTTCCAAAGTCTACCGATTCAGTCGCCGCCCTTGGCATCTGCAGTCGGATGCTGACTGACCAAGAATTCACGATTACTAGAAGTTTTCTCGCCGCATACAATTTAAATTGGCCATATGGCAGCAATGCAAGCTTCTGCTCATGGATTTAACAGCCTGTACTGTACGTATATTTATGGGCGCTCTTGTTTGTTTTGACCCTCTTGACCGGACGAAAAGGAGTCGACCTCGCTTATATTACCAAGCCAAATAAATCTGGCCAAGACAGCGCGTATCGTCGGGGCCACGAAGCGCTTCGGGCTGCAGCCCTTCTTTGGAAATGTCTTGGGCCATGGGTATATGCGGCGTACACTCGCTCTCTTAGGATCACATTTGTATATGTTCCATCCCGTAGCCCCCGTGAATACGGAGCCGTCCAGCCAGAAATGCCTCCTACTACGAATCCATTTGGCTACAGATTCAGCCCCTAGGTTTTTGAAAGCTAATCGTCGGTTAGCTTGAATTTAATTTGTAGAAAATCCCGACCTGGACCACCAAGGCGGGACACCCATCAAGGCGGGACAGTAACGGTATACCACTTATTAAACAACAACTATCAATGCAAATAAGAAAAAAAATCATTATCCGCTCAGAAAACTTTGCCTTACAAACGTGAGTTGAAAATACAAAGACGCGTTTATTTATAATGATTTGATACATTAAAATGGAATAGAAATATAGCTAAAAACTGTCCTAAATAATTCAAATATATTTATTTGCTGCGAATATCTTAATAACCACAACCTTAGTTAAAGAAATGTCTTATAGATCGAAAATAAACGATTTACTCTATTATATTACTATAGGTAGTAATTATTAAATAAAAGTTGGTAATGATGCACGTATTCACTTAATGGGTTTGAATAAAAGTCCGATTTTCGTATTCCTCGCTTATTCTAGTATTTACGCGGCAATTCTGATATATACGCATTAGTAAAATCGAAAAGTACATATGAAAAGTACCATTTTTACTATTTTAACTCAACACAATAAAGGAATAATAATTTGTAGTTACAATTTGATTAATTGATTAATATTAAACTCAATACTTTGCATCTCTTCATACAGAAATTATTACGATATATTAATTGGTTGATTTTATATTCATTATAAAGAAGCAAATTTTACTGTCCCGCCTTGGTGGTGCCGACATGATTCTTTCGAATTACATTTAAGGAAACCGACGACTAGGCCAATGTACACGCCCAGACTCTTTCTTAATTTAGTAAGGATATCTATGAGGAAGATGGGATTGGTCTGATTTTCTCTTCTTCCCTTTATTTAATGATTCATTAATAGGAAAGCTATACTGAACAAGTGAATGGCACTATGACTTGACTTCGTCTCAGTACCTACAGAGTCTGATAATGAGGTTTTGTTATATCCTCAAAACCCGCGCCCGATCTGGTCTCATCTTTCATCGTTCGTTTATAGCGAAAGGTTTCTTTCTTGATACGAGTGATTTCTGTGAAAGATCTTTGTCGCTTTACACGAGAGCACAAGAGAACTTCTCCGTATGGCCGTGTTCTCCGAGGAGTTGTTGCTGAAGTCACATGAGATGAAACACGGCTGTTGTTACTGGACCACCGTGCGGATCCCTCATCCAAAGGGCTGACTGCATGCGTCAAGATGCGAGGGTCCAAGTATTTCTCTTCCAAATCTCTTCTGTTCGGGATCTGTCGCTATAAATTACACCAGGTGGCGGGATATCTTCAACGAACGTACGTAGTACTACGTATACCGGGACAGTATGTGAAATGCTCAATTTGTGGGGTATAAAGTAAATCCATCTGGCCAGGACTCTGGAGAAGCGTTTTAATCAAGCATTGCGAAAAATGGAGCCACGCTGATAGAAGGAAAAGGAGAGGCTATTCCTTACCTCGCTTAGCCAATCAAAACAAAGCCAGAGCTGCTTATTTCGACCATCTCGGCCCGCAGTCCTAGTAGTCCGTTGCTCCGTCCTCCGCCCTCCGTCCCCCAACTGTCCGGCCGAAACGTTCGGTTTGGGGGCGAATATTCTTCCCCCTCACTTCAACCCTCCGTCTGTTCATAACACTCGAACATCCCACCTCCGTTTTCCCCAAATTTCCCATACACAAGCTCTTCTTCCTAGTCATTAAAATCTTCGAATACCCTCAATTGATCCGTCCCGATCGCCTTAAATCAAGCACGCAAACAAATCCCCCGTCATCATGGACGCCGCGCTTCGCCAGTCCAAAGCCATGTGTCCGTTTATGAAGAAGGCCTCGCCCGCCACCCTCCGCTCCCTCTCGACCTCCAGTCGCCAGGGCGGCAGCATGTCCAATCTGCAGACGATTGCGCGTCGATGCCCCATCATGGGCAAGGCCCTCGCTGTTCAGACGGCCAAGTCGTCAGCGGTGGGCTTGGGCGGCGTTGCTGCTCTCGGAGCCATGCGGGCTTTCTCTGGAAAGGTCGGCTCTGGCAAGGCGAAGCTGCATACCGGCCGACCAAACGAGGCGAGAGCCGCGGAGGACACCTTGTTTGGCAGAGAAGGTGCGTTGGAATCGAGAGGATCGGCTACAAATCACTAATATCACTCGATAGCCCACATCCGTCACGGCAAACCAGCCCGTCCAGCTCAGCACAACGGCCAGCAATTCGACTACGAGTCTTTCTACAATGCGGAGCTCGAAAGGAAGCATAAGGACAAGTCCTACCGGTATTTCAATAACATCAACCGCATTGCTAAGGAGTTCCCGCGCGCCCACAAGGACAGCAAGGATGATAAGGTCACAGTTTGGTGCTCCAATGACTATCTCGGCATGGGCAGCAATCCGAAGGTCTTGAAGAGCATGCATGAGACTCTCGACGAGTACGGAGCCGGTGCTGGTGGAACAAGAAATATCTCTGGCCACAATAAGCACGCTGTCAGCTTGGAAGCTGCCATCGCCAGGTTGCATGCAAAGGACGCAGCATTGGTTTTCACCTCGTGCTATGTGGCCAACGACGCTACTTTGGCGACTCTAGGAAGCAAATTGCCAGACTGCGTTATTTTCTCTGACAGCTTGAACCATGCTTCCATGATCCAGGGCATCCGGCACTCCGGGGCCAAGAAAGTCGTTTTCAGACACAATGATCTCGGGGATTTGGAAGCTAAACTTGCAGCTCTGCCCCCAGATGTCCCAAAAATCATTGCTTTCGAGTCCGTGTATAGCATGTGCGGTTCGATTGGGCCCATCGAGGGAATTTGTGACTTAGCCGAGAAGTACGGAGCCTTGACCTTTCTCGATGAAGTCCACGCTGTAGGCATGTACGGACCTCACGGCGCTGGTGTCGCCGAGCATTTAGATTACGAGGCGCACATTTCCGGCAAGCCCAAGGGCACAATTATGGACCGCATCGACATCATTACTGGTACTCTGGGAAAAGCCTACGGCTGCGTAGGTGGTTATATCGCCGGTTCCGCCAAAATGGTTGACACGATCCGCTCTCTCGCTCCTGGCTTCATTTTCACCACTTCCCTCCCACCCGCCACAATGGCGGGTGCACAAACTGCGATTGAGTACCAAATGGAATACCAAGGTGATCGTCGCCTCCAACAACTCCATACTCGAGCAGTCAAGGATTCTCTCGCTGAGCGCGACATTCCAGTCATTCCGAATCCATCGCACATTATCCCCGTGCTCGTCGGCAACGCCGAGCTCGCTAAAAAGGCCTCGGACATGCTTCTCGAGACCCACGGTATCTATGTTCAATCTATCAACTACCCAACGGTGCCCGTCGGCCAGGAGCGGCTGCGCATAACTCCCACTCCGGGACATGTCCGCGAATTCCGCGAGGAGCTCGTGGGTGCGCTGGAAAGTGTCTGGCAGGAATTGGGTTTGAAGAGGACAAGCCAGTGGAAGGCCGAGGGAGGATTCATTGGCGTTGGCGAAGAAGGAGCGGATCTTGTGCAGCCGCTCTGGACGGACGCGCAGTTGGGCGTGACGGAGGTGGTGAGAGAGATGAAGGCCGCTGGTCCCATTGGCGTGATGGAGGCTCTCCTTGAGAGAGAAACCAGCGCCACTGCGAAGACGATTGCTGCTGTCGCGTAAGCAGGACTACAGCTAGGTTCCACTCGGCGTGATGGGTGTTCTGCTTCGCTCAACATGGAATCGAGACAGGGGAGCTCACCAGACCCGAAACCACGATCTTTCGAGCGTACACGGTTGTTGCTTTAGGCCCATGGCGGTGCCACGATAATTACGATGAGTTTGAATGAAAATATCCCGATTTAAGTGCAGCGGAATTTAGTCTGCTGCACACGACCTACGTTTTCTTTGGTCTTTTGTCACTTCTGTGCACAATCTAAGTGTGGCTGCTTTGTCTTATACCTCCTCTACATTTTTCCTCGTGTGGTATATATAATGATGGTTAGTTCGCTCTGGCCTGTGCTAGATTTGTATTTGACCGACATTATATAGATATACGGTTCCGACGAAGAAAGAGGGGTCCCCCGTTGGAAAAGGGGGCGGTTAGCAAGTAAGCGAGAATTTGTTGACCTGTGTGTGCAAAGTGGGGATGGATACCTACTTTCTATTCTCGGAAGGTGCCCTGCAACCGATTAGAAGTTTTGATTTTGCCCTTGGTTTGTTGAATAGTAAGGGATTATAGCTTACGTACATTCTTGTTATCAAAATTATTACTATCATCATCTGTTATATATATATATACACATAGGAACGCAGGGCAGGGCAGATGAGACAAAACTAGATCGGAATCGGAGGGGGGGGTCGCAAATACCTGGGATCTACATTCCACAAAGAGGAGAGCCAGTGAGTGAGTGTGGAACGCCAGCAAATACAGCAATGCAGTAATGCAGTAATGCAATATTGCGAGCTAGTTATTGATTCTCTCTCTCTCTCTTTCTCTCGCTATTGGGGGGGCAATGGAACATAGCTTTCTTGCCATCCCTTTCTGTACCCCTCGACTTTTTCTTTCTCGTTCACCTCTTTTTGTCCTTTCCCCCCTCTTCTCCGTCTCCTTCCATTTCGCAGATCCACTCACTCACTCGCAGACTCACTCGCAGGCTCGACTCCAAGTAAAAAATGCCAACGCTCCTGACTTCGAGCTCTAACCTACTACAAAGTCTTCTCCTTCTTTTACTTCTCCTTTTACTTCTACTTTTACTTGCCGTGTCGGCCACCGCCGCTGGTAGTACGGCAGGAGTCGAGTGTCCACAGGCGCAGCGCTTCTGCTGCCGATCGCTTGTAGAGAGCGAGGCTGCTAGGACGAGGGTGGAGGCTCTTGGAGGGGAGGGGGGGAGGGGGGAGGGGGGGTTTGTGGGTAGTACTTGTGAGTTGTCCGGGTGGTTTTTTAAGGGGGGGGAGGGAGGGTGATAGAGAGAGGGAGAGAGAGAGATGTGTGGAGAGGGAAATGGAAATGGAGAGGGGTTGACGACGTGGGTAGGCTCGCCGGTTCCGGTCGTTTCTACGGGGGGAGTGTGTCACCAGCATTCGGTCTGTTGCTCGGGGGTTAATATGGTGAGTGGTTTGCTTTGCTTTGCTTTGCTTTGCTTTGCTATGGTTTGATTTGATTTGATTTGCTGTGGTGTGGTGTTGTCAGGTATCGTCGCGAGTTTCGTCCCGGAAGTTGTTTAGGGTCGAGGGGTGGATAGGGGGGGAAAATGGATCTTAGAAATGTGCTGACGAGACTGACTGAGAGTAGAACGGAGTTTTGGTCTTGGGGTGTGAGCCAGGATTTTTCCGCCAGCCTGCCGCTGTGAATGTGAATAACGGGACTTCTTGAAATGGGACTGTGGGTGGCGTTGGTTGGATGGTGAGAAGGGCAGAATGATAAGGGGGTTTGAGTGCTGATTTAAGGGTGGAGGGGAATGTCGGCTTGGACCTGGACTTTGATGGAACGGCGATGATATAGATAGGGATATACGGATTGTTTATTCCCTCGGATATATTGATAGGATCGCTGGAGTCAGGTTACATAAGGAATCTAGAAGCGAAGCTGTCGCGTACACAGTGGTTATTGTAATGTTGTATATCAGAGGTGTGATACGGATGGGTCAATCGAATCGTTCATTCAATCTACAGGCCTATAAGTGGATGGATAGTAGGGCTATGGAGGTCTCTAAGATACGGATTCTGGTTATTCTACGAATCTCAATGCTGGTGGTTATGAATCGTGCTTCCGCATCTAACAAACTCTTTCTACAGACTTTCCCTGAAGTCACTTGTGAGAATTGCTGCATCATTAGCCATTGATACACATATCGCTCAAGTCACGAACAGTTGCGCACTTACATACTCGACTTCATTGTGGGCATCTCTTACCTGCTAGTCCAAACTATCGAATGGTTTATTCTTAGTGGTACATATGACCGGAAGGTAGCTTCACAGTAGTCAGCGCAACGTCCTTCTTCAACATCTTTTTGCAGGTAGTGCAGAACTCGTCCTCCGCAATGGCAGCCGCTACGCTAGGGTGTTATCTGAGTTCAAGAGGCGCGTTGTTTTGTATTGGGAAGAGCAGTCTTCACACTTGCTGGCACTCGAGCGAGCTATTTCTGTATAAGCGAGAGATGGCCAAAACATGAAGTTTTTTTTTTTTTTTTTTTTAGAATCCAAACTCGTGAGGGTTAGTTTGGATGCATTTGAGCCTATTCCGTAGAGATGATTTCATCACCGATACAACTATGAATCCTTAGCTCCTCAGTAAGTTCGGAATTTCACAATTGCAAGATTTCATTGCATAGATTTCAGCTTCTACACTATCCATACCGAGCATTCTGCACCTCGTCATCAAACCACGTCGGTTCCTGTCCGTAATTGATGACTGTGCTCTTGACTTTCGTGTAACTCTCAAAAGCTTCTACGCCGTTCTCCTTCCCGATCCCACTTTCTTTAAATCCACCCCACGGGGAGGACGGATCATTCAGGTGATGGCCATTGATCCACACAATTCCCGCATCGATGTTCTCCGCCACCCGGTGCGCCTGAGTGAAATCGTTCGTCCACACCGACGCACCCAAGGCGAACGAAGTCCCATTCGCAATCCGGATAATCTCCTCCTCCGACGCGCATCTGATGATCGCAATGATGGGACCGAACACTTCGTTGCACGATAGATTGGTCTCGGCGTTGGTCTCGATCAGCGTTGGCTGGAAGAAGAACCCTTTGCCGTTCAAGCGAGCAGATCCGCCTCCGCAGAGGATGTTCCCGTTCTCGATGACTGCCTGCATCACGAAAGATGAGCACCTCTCAACACTCGCGCGGGAGATGACAGCTCCGATTTGCGTTCGATCATCGGTGGGGTCTCCGATCCTCAGTGCTTTCGTTCTCTCGACCAGTAGATCTACGAACTCGTCGTAGATCCCCGAGTGTACCAGCAGCCTGCTTCCCGTGACACAAGTCTGGCCACTCGCGATAAAACTCGCAAACAAGGCCGCTTTTACCGCTTTCTCGACGGGCATACTGGGGAAGATGCACACGGGCGCTTTCCCGCCGAGCTCAGCTGTGATAGGAATGAGATTCTTGCTTGCGTTTGGTGCAATGGCCGCATATGTCGCAAGCCCCCCCGTCAGATCAATCTTGGAGATTAGAGGCGACTCGCACAGGAATTTTCCAGTCTCCCTCCCAAGTCCTGAAACGATCTGTAATGTGCCATCCGGCAAGCCAGCCTGTTGGAACAGCTTACCCATCTTCAGGACAGAGATTGGTGCGAACTCGGATGGCTTGACGATGACAGAGTTCCCTGCAGCCAGCGCAGCACCGATTTTCTTCGTAGCAATCAAAAGTGGATGATTCCAAGGCGTGATTTGAACGACAACCCCGAGAGGCAAACGTGTTAACGTGTTGACGACAGGTCCTTTGAATGGCGTTACTCGTCCCTCATGCGTTCGCGCTAGAGAGGCGAAGTACTCGAGCCATTCTGGAATACGGCCTAGCTGGGCCCTCATCTCACGGATGGGCCGACCGGTCTGCTGAGTCTCGAGCATGATGAACTCGGGGAGTCGAGACCGGAGGAGGATCGCCGCCGTCGACAGAACTGTGTATCTAGCTGAGGCATCGGCTTTGCTCCATACACCACTGGCGAAGTTCTGCAGGGACGAGTCCACGATCGCATTGACCGCGTCTTGAGGCGTAGAGTCTATCGTTGCGAGTATCTCTTCAGTCGCAGGATTGATAACGTCTATCCGGGCCTCGGTTGGAGCTTGGTAGGCGCCATTCACCCAATTGCTGTGATGCTGTCCTGTTGACATTTTCCGGCGTTTTTCTTTTCCGTCGAATTTGACATGTAGGAGAAAGGAGAGAAAGGGGCTGAGGATGAAGATGAGCAAAAGGCACGGGGGCTTCCGCATCAATCTGGAGAAATCTTAGTCGGATGACCACGACCAGGGTCCCGCTTTCCAAAGTGGGGGCAGATAATTGCCGAGAAGATCAACAACAAAGCATTCGCATTCGCTGTTATCTTACACTTCATCATTGCAAAGTGTTCTGGACAGCAGATTTTCCCCCTCCGGATGTAAACAGACCTGTAGGGATTTTAGCATGCTGCGTGAAACGTAACGGTTCGTTCGTAGTATCCGGAGGTATGATCGCTGAAGCCCAAAGGCCATGATGCAGTAAACAAACAAGCGAGCGGGAGCTGGCCCCCTTTCCCGATATGGCGCTGGTGAAGTGCGCAGCCGGACCGAAAAGTCAGGATACCTGAATATTGAAAGCTTGCTGGTGGCTGCTACAGTCTTAAGGCTCCTCCTGCTTTCCGTGCGACGATTGGATTTGATGTGTATGTCCCGGTCCACATCGCCGCGGCGGCACCCACTTCCGTGTTAGGTGAGGATACACATATCCTGACTCCTAGGAGCAATAGTGGCTTCAGGGGAAGCTGCATGGCTAGTTCGACTGATACATATCACGAGAGCTCGTATTTCTACGCATAGGTCATTGACAAAATTGAGGGACCCAAGAATCAAAATGAATGTGCTTATGGCTAAGTTTAACTGAGCCGAAGGATAGAATATATATATATATATATATCTATATAAACCATATTGACTACATTACCGTTACCAGACGTGAAATAGGATTGTGAAGTACTTCATTCGTCGGCCAGTTACAAAAGCCTGATATCTGTCATCCAGCAGAAAGCTCTTTAATACTATGATATAATTCGGCCAAGAAATGATTCGACTACTACCTCGCAGGTTGACCGCTGAAAATTAGACGATATCTTGGTGAGAACCCCATACCAAATATAATATTACCTACGTATAACTTGAGTAGCACTCTGCGTCAGTTTTTCGGCAACGTAAAGCTGCTCCTCTCGATCGGAAACAGATTTCATGCGCAAGTGGACTTCCAAAGTGAGTGTCTGTGAATGTAACTACAAAGTTACTCACATCTCGCAAATGCATGGCTCAAAGAAACAAGACTCCTATACATAGCAGGAAATATATAGAACATTTCCAGTTTTCTGCTTCTTCCGTCGAAAGAGGCACACCCTGATGTTCGTAAATAAACAGTGATACGATAACTGGAGATCGATATAGAGGCTGTGTGTGGACGGATGTATCGTCCGCAGCGAGGAACGTGACAGCGAGAGATGAGTTCTTTAGAAGCTACCGAGCATATCGGTAGCTCTGCCCACTTCGAGAGATGCTACAGAAACGATAGATACGGATCTGAGAAAGCCCGCTGCGAGGACTCCCTCCCTCTCCAAGCGTTTTCAGACAGCTATAATCTCCGCATATTTGTTCTCGAATGCGAGTACCGTGGAAGCTGCTATGGACCTGCAGGCAACACCTAAGATTCAGACATGCCTTTTAGCTAGTAAAACAGACAGGCACTCATCCCAATCCCGAGCCACCCAACCACCCATAGCTAGCTAGCCCAGAGCTAACCCATAGCTACCTACCACCTACCGACCTAGAGGACGCACTCATCGTCAGAACAAAAAAGAACCCTCAGCTTCCACAAACAACTTTCTCGTTCTTCTCATCCTATAATCCCCCCCCCCCAACCCAAAAGAGACAATTTACCATCACCAGCTGCCAGCCCCGATACATCCAATAATCCAGGTACGCTTCCCCCAAGGATCCCCCACGAACAATATCTTAAACATTTTACTTATCAGATAGCGATCGAAGTAGGCTTGTTGCTAGCAGCTGCTGCTAGGAAGTATCGCTAAGTAGCAAGACATAGATTGGATTGATCAATCGACATTAGATCCTGATGAGGCCCGGCCAACTATACTTGCGTGGTAGGTTGCTTGGTGGGTTGCTTGAGTGGAAGAGCGAGACGAAAATCTGGAGGCTGGAAGTCCAAAAGCCGTTTCAAAGATATATTTGTAGACTTTTACAGTTGGCATTCGATCGTGGTAAAAAACGCAGAAGAGGGTTGAGAAAGGGGAAGGGAGGATGGAGAGAATCCTGTAGGTAGATTGGCGAAGTAGTGGTTGCTTGGAAGCACTCGAGAATAGACAGTTAGGGAGTTCTGTTATGACGTAGGGGTTGCGTGCGCTCTCGGTTGCGCTGAAAATTCGATACGTTGGCATCGACCAGTTTCTTTCCTTAGCTTCGACTGCCATACTAGAGACGCTGGCACAATTCCAAGCGGATAAGATCTCCCCCTTGATCCAGAACCGTGCCCCGTATGCAACATCACGTCTCACAAAGTCAGGAGCCGCCGCTTATTGACACTTTTTTTTTTTAGATAACCCTAGAAGACCTAGACGCCAGGGACCTGAGTAGTTACACCAGCGAAAAAAAATGACCTTATCCCTGATTCATATGAAAAACACAGAAAAGCAATAAGCAGGCGTGTCTATGTCGTGGAACGAACGTAGCGGCCGACGACAACGCAATGATCTCTCTCGAAGGGCTCTGTAGATGCGGTTAGCTGCTGATTCTACGCGCGGAATCACGAGCGGGTGCATACCCAATGTCAATTGCTCCAAAGGCTTGATTCTCTCCTCTCTCAACTTCTGGACCTCTCTTGCGAACACGGCTTCCGGGGCAGCGGTCGAATCGATACAGTTGGCCTTGATAGAAACAACGATACCACCACCAACCTTTAGGAATAAGTGTGCGTTCAATCCAACAATACGGGCTTGATCAGGCTGGGCGACATCTGCGAAGATGACATCGACCATGGAAACCAACATGCGGTACTTGAGCGGGTGACGGGCGTCCTCGATGATAGGAATAACGTTTGTGCGGTGGGTGGCCATATTAATCAGATCACGACCGGAGCGGTGGGAGAACTCAACAGCGAAGACCGTTCCAGTAGGGCCAACGATATCAGCGACGTGTGAGACGGAAGTTCCAGACGCAGCACCGAGGTAGAGGACCTTTGCTCCGGGCTTAATGAAGATCTCGTCCAGACCACCCAAGACACCCGCTGCCAACTTAGAGCGGAAAGGGTTCCAGACTCGGTATTCGGTTTTGGTGACACTGGGAGTTCCGTCGGCGTTGGCTGGGCCGCTGTTCTCGACGCTGATGCGCTTCTCGCCGTAGACTGACTCGCCAGGGGAGAGGTTCTTGGTGACCAACATGTCCTCCTTGCCGCGAGCGACGAAGATACCGGCGTGGCGATGGGGTTCCTGCGCCTGTCAGTTTTGCGACTCGGCGTATCGAGGAGATACACGTACGATGATAGTCTTCGCGCCGCCCTTTGCTCCAGCTCCTCCACGTCCTCGTGGTGCTCCTCGGCCTCGTCCGCCCCGGTCTCCACCTCGACCACCTCCACGGCCGCCTCTGCTGTCACCTCGACCTCCTGCCCCTCCAGTCAGCTACTGCTGACTTTTGAACTGCGCGCAAACATAATTGGAAGCTTGGCGACCCCGAATTGTCGATCGCAGAGGCATTTGAGGTCGCGGGAATAGAAAACTGACCTCTGGCACCACCTCTCGAGAAGCCTCCACGACCACCTCTATCGCCGCCGCGCCCGCCTCCAAATCCACCGCGTCCTCCACGGTCGCCACCGCGCGATCCTCCTGCACCTCTGGGTGTGTATGCCATCTCGTGTTGTTGTGTTGGGTAACGATTGACGTGTAGACGTGTAGAAAGGGTGCTGGTGGATGTCGAGCTCGAAAAAGTCCGGATGGAAATAATTTTATTTTTCTCAGCTCACGCCCATTGCCCATTGGTGGCTACTCTAGCAAGCGAGCGCTAGTGAAAAGTGGCGCTGTGGCTGACGAGGGATGTGGCTGGTGGATCAAAGTTCTTCCCGATTCATCTCGACAACAACCACCCAGCCTGACTTTCAGCACTGTTCTCGACGACGATGCAGAGCTATACTATGAACTTCCTCGTGCCTAACTATGTTCCATCCAATGTCTAGCTTCACAGCCGTTCCTATGTTACCGCATCATCAGCCGAGCTTTGGGACGGGGTTATAAGGCTATCACCGCCACCTCGACCACATTGTGGCTTTCTACCCGAGCTTTCACCTAACGACCGAGAGTTGTTGTGTTGTTTAGCACGGGAAAAATTACGCGCATCTTCTACCCCTGAGACTATGTCGTGACCTTCAAGTTGCACCTCTGATTTATTGTACACGCATTCACCATTCAGGCAGTAAAGCTCAGATAAAGGAATACAAGATGAAGGGGAGAGTAAAATGTAGTATCCAGCCACGATTAATAAGAACACAGATCTCTCCTCTCACATCCATATGCTGTGGTTGATACCAGACGAGTCTCGTTCCGTAGGTGGTCTTGAGACACAGACACAGAGGTACCTAAGGTACCGTATGTATATCCGCCAAGCTTTCCACCCTTCATGTTCCACCCCTTTCGTTGAGTAAGCCACCTCCTCTTTCAAGCTTATCTCTTTCAACGATTCAAGTTATCCCATCATCAGTTCCTGGGGATTTATCAGTGCATTTGCTGAATATCAGACATGTCAAAAAGAATTTAGAATCGTCTTGGCATCTATAACAGTATGCGCGGCTAGGACGAAGACTGAGCTTGAGGACAGCAGTGGAGAGGTGATGAGAAGGACACACTGAGCCTCTCTGGATGACGGCTCTGGGGTAGGTAGGTAGGTAGGTAGGTAAGTAGCTAGGTATTGGATCGCCAGTAACGATCGTTCATTCCTAGCGCGTTGCGCACGTGGCTGCTTGCAGTTGAAAAACTGGCGATAAAATTGGTACTTGGATTCTATCTGCTCCCCAAGGCCCAGGGGAGCTGACTCCTTGTATACGATTAGAAGGAGTCACGTGCACTAACTATATAATAATGTTTACAAGGAAGTTGGGGGTCCGTGAGGGTATGCCCACGCTAAGAAAGGTATGCTCATCCGTATCCGAGATTCTGTCATTTTCCCCAACTGCGTCGGGTCGATATTGATGTACCGACAGTACCGACAGTAGGCTTAGAAGCCGGGTTGAGGGGCGGGGGGGGGAATTGGTAAGCGGTCCGACACGATTACCTACTACCCAGGACATGATAGACGAGGACATATCCATAGAGAGAGCGATCTATCATACATACCGCTCCTGAATTATCCCGTCCACCATTGCATTCGTTCCTTACTTTACACAAAGCTTCCTGGTATTTTCGTAGAATGACTACTGGTTGCCGTTCTCCCTTTATCGATGTATCATTTTAATTCGAGTCTTATTATGCGCTTCAACAGTCTTTCCGTCGTCCGTGTTGAGCCTTTGCTGCCAAGATCGCTTCGACCAAGGATCCATCATCTCGCAACTCGCAACTCGCAACTCGCCAGCCACCGTATATCAGTAATGAAGAGACTGGATTATACCAGCGGAATAACCGGATCGAATCTATTCTTATCCAGTCTAATCCACACGCACTCTCAGACCAGCAAGAAGATACATACCCGGTCCGAAGAAAGTGAAAAACAAAAAGAAATCATCCAGCTACCAAGCAAGCACGCAAGCACGCAAGCAAGCACACAAGCACGCAAGCAAGTAAATCATCGACCAGAGACTCTTTTCGGAATCTGAATCTATTACCTGATCGCATAATTGACTGACTGTGAGGTGGTCCGCTCGGTACCTTTCACTTGATTTCGCGTAATTACCTAGGCGAAGATGGGTTGCCTCGCGATGACTCCGCTCCGGCAAGAATGGGTGAAGGGAGAGAGGATGATGGCTAGGACCGACCTGCATTAGTTTTAGATACTACTAGATAGGTAGGTAGCTAATGACTTATTTTATTTACTCACCTACAGTAATAATCTCCCATAGCGATATCGATACCCCTCCCGTCCTTCTTCATGCGATCTTCAACCCCTTGGCTCTTCTCCTCTTGTCTTCTCCTCTTCCCCTACGGAATCCTTCGAAGCCCCAGTTATCTCCGTATCTGGGCCCCTTCACCCTCTTCTATCAGTTGTCCTATCTCTTTCTTGCCCCCACACCCTCCCCTGGGAGGTTTTTTTTCTTCTTC